CCCCACCTGGGCCTGGCTTCTTCAGGGTCCGGGAGAACAGTCAGGAGCATTTCTCTCGGTGCACAGGGTGATGCAGGAGAACTGCTCCTGACTGTGTTCCTGCACTCTGAAGATGCCAGTCACAGGCGCTGGCGAAACGTTAGGAAACAGAACTTCAAGAACATGGCCACACAGCCCGGAAGACCCACACCAGCCATCGTATGCCGGCCGTGAAAGCCTTCGACAATACATAATATGGCTTATTTATTTTTGGCATTGTGTGACATGCACACATTCATGAAACCCTCGTTGATTGATTTTGTTTTGGGTGGAATATATTCATCTACAATAGTGTTGAAACAGAAAAAAACGTTTTCAGCTAACTGGCAGAGAAAAGACCTAGTAGAACAATTTATTTGATTTCATTAGAATAAAAGAAATGTAGCACAAGTAAAAAAAATAATAAATCAAGGGGGAGAAACATGAAGATAACAGGCCTTACTCATGCTGTTTAGAAGCCAAACAATTCTGGGACAGTAGCAATATTAGCTATAGGTGGGGTCGTGCCCTCAGAAGGATCTGATCTATAACCTGGGGATTCTCCTGCAAGTGAAACCTGTGGCCAGAAGAACTTTTGCCAGCTGCCACTGGTGTGCCAGTTACAACAGTTTCTGGAACAGGAGGCACTGGCAAGAGACATTCATGCCTTGTCCCCTCCCAACTGAATTACTGCAGTTCACTATACAGGGGACTGTTCTTGAAGACCCCCCAAAAAACTTCAGCTGGAACAAAATGCAGCTGCCCATGTACTAATGGGAACATTCCATTATTATCATACAACACAAATATTAGGATTGCCAGTTTGTTTATGGATGCAATTCAAGGTGCTAAGAGAACTGGGTATCTGTGAAATCATTTGCTCCAAGCAGAAGCTGCCTCCACAAGGCATGCAAGTAGAAAGAGCACACTTAGAATCTCCACACATCCCAGAAATCCGCAGGAGGGACTCAAAGGCAAGCATTCTGCACTGGAGCTCCCCTCTATGGAAGCAGCTGCCTCTTAAACTAAGATCATCATCCTCATTATTAACATTTTAAAAGTCTCTGAAAACCTGCATGTTTAACCAGGCATTCAGGAGTTGATAAACCAATGATAATGTGCCTGAGATGCACATGGGCACTGCTTATTGTTGGTTTGTTGTTACTACTGAGTTGAATTGTTTTGTTTGATTAAACCAGCCTAAAAGCACTTGTAGTACATAAATAAAATGATTAAAAATTAATCGATGTCACATTATGCATTCTTATCAAGTATAATCTCCTCAGCCAGCAAATATACCGTCACTATGAAAGAAGTCAAACACTTCCAGATACAGTGGTACCTCGGGTCACGAACGCTTCTGTTTACGACCAATTCGGGTCATGAACAGCACCGTTCGCAAAATTTTGCTTCCGTTCGCGAACGCTGGATCGGGTGACGAACAGGATCC